AAAACAAAAAAAATTAATAATTTTCTTTTTTTTTATCTATCTATTGCTTGCATGGTTAATTACATCTTTTCCATATAGCTAGTTATTTTCGTTCTCAAAAAAGGTTAACAATTACTTTTATTAACCAACACATTAATACATTCAATATCATGCATTATAATAATAAAATATTAAAATATTTTATTACTTATAGTATATCCTACCTAGATACATATCTAAAAAAAAAATTATCACTAATGTTCATATTTTGGTCTTTTTTTTTTTTTTTTTTTTTTTTTCTATATATGCCTAATTTATATCTCAAAAAAGAATAAAAATATATAATTGGTTAATAAAAGGCTTCATTAACCTTTTTGGAAAATAAAAGGACTAGTTAAATGAAGAATACGAAATTGGTCATGCACACACACAAAAAAAATATTGATGATTTTTTTTTATTTGTACATTTTTTTTAAAAGAAAAAAAGTACAAAGACTGTCAGGAAAAATTCTGATAAAAAAAAAAATGCAAAGATTGTGAGGTAAAAAATTGATTAAAAAAATCAATTTTTTTTTAAAATATTTGTTATTAATAAATAAAAAAAAAAAAGAATTTTTTTTTTTTGGGGGGAAGGAAATGAAATAATTTTGATGATGAATTTTGTAAAAGAAAATTTTATACATATATATCAATAAAATTTTCATGTAATTAATATTTGTATAATTTTTGATATTTGTAAATATTGTTTATGTTTGTTAATTCAATAGCAATATGTATTAATTGCTGAATGTAACTCATAATAAATAAACTAGTAATTATTAATTATTAAATAATTAATGTTCAATAAAGATTTAAATTTTTAATAAAAAATAAAGATTTTTATTATAGTAAATAAATGCTTATTGAAATAAAAGAATGCTGAACGAAGTAGAGCACATAATTAAGAATCACTCGTTCAAAGTATATAAAAGTATATATAAATACACCAAAATCGTAGAGGCAACTTTATATGCTCTTTATTAATTCGTTTGTTCAATACTCTAATAAAGTCACCGAACACCCAGTTAATAAAACAGCACTCTAGCAAAGTCAACAAACACCCAGTTAATAAATCAAGCACTCACATAACTAACTACGTGCTTTCTGTATAAATAATTATTTTTATCCTCAACAAGGTTAATAATTTCTTTTATTAACAGAATATCTAATAAATCGTGTACTTCTCTTCAATTTATTTTAATTATTTGTTTGGAATTTACACAGCTCTATATCATTTTCATTGTTTTGTAACTTATTAACAGTTGATTCACCTTTTCTAATTTTATAAATATTTTACTCTTGCTTTATTGTTTCGTATAATTCTTCATTTTTACCTATACTGTTAATTCTGTTTCTTTTTCTTACAAGTTCTTCATTTTTTTTTTCTAGACTATTTATTTAATTTAGTAAAAATCACTATATTTTTATTAAAAACCTAAATCTTCATTAATTATTAGTTTTTAAGTACAAAGATTTAATTACTATTTCTAACGATTAGTGTTTAAAAAATCAGGTCAATTCTTTAAAATAATAAAAATACATACTTAAATTATTACTGGAAAGAACGAAAATTTAATTTTCAAAAATAGAAAGTTTTCTTTTATTAAAATATTGAAAAAAAATTTTGAGAATTTTTTCTATAAAATTCACACCTATTCAAATTCACAAAATAATTAATAATTTATGTTAAGAAAAAAATATATATAAAAAACATCAACTATTTTTATTTTTTCATTTATTTTTTTTAATTAGCTTTTGCGTATGTATAAATGTTTATTTTCCATATAGAAATTTAATGATCAAAAAAGCTAATAAAGCTTTTATTAGTCATACACATAATTTCTATTACTATAAATGTTTTTTTTTACACTAGTACGATTATTTGATATACATTATTATAATAAGAATGAAATTAATATTATTTATTTTTATAGAAATAACTATGATAATACGTATATATAAATGATTATTTATGTATTATTTAACCTTTCTGAATTGGTATATAATTGACTGTATTATCTGACTATTAATTTATTAATGTTACAATTGCCAAACAATAGTTATAAATAATATTTTTTACTTTATGAACATTACCTTACTTATAATTACAATAATTTCTACATTTAACGGACTATTGTTTGGATAATTTTAATATTTAAATATACAATACATATATTATTTAAAAGATTTGAATACAATGAAGCAATATGTATAAATGTAAGATAATATTATATTTCACATATTGTTGGAAAAATGGCATTTATATATTATATTAAAAAAATANTAGTACGATTATTTGATATACATTATTATAATAAGAATGAAATTAATATTATTTATTTTTATAGAAATAACTATGATAATACGTATATATAAATGATTATTTATGTATTATTTAACCTTTCTGAATTGGTATATAATTGACTGTATTATCTGACTATTAATTTATTAATGTTACAATTGCCAAACAATAGTTATAAATAATATTTTTTACTTTATGAACATTACCTTACTTATAATTACAATAATTTCTACATTTAACGGACTATTGTTTGGATAATTTTAATATTTAAATATACAATACATATATTATTTAAAAGATTTGAATACAATGAAGCAATATGTATAAATGTAAGATAATATTATATTTCACATATTGTTGGAAAAATGGCATTTATATATTATATTAAAAAAATATAAATCATAAAAACTCACTTTTATTAAAAATACGACTATTTTTTAAAGTAAAATGAGCGTTAATATATTAAGAAGGTAATATTTATTCATATACATTTTTATTTATATTATATCAAATATTCTTACAAATTAAATTAAAAAGATAAAATTTTTTAATAAAATTCTTTATTAATGCTTACAAAGATGTCTTATAGCACTTAAATATTTTAGAAGAAAGTAAAATGTGAAAGGGACTATTACTGAACTCTTTTCTATTATATAAATTATTTGTTAATTGTTCATTCAGTAATCATGCTAATATGAAAAAAACAAATTAATAAAAAGCATATAGAAAAAGCTCTATTCATTTTATCATTATCAGATTATTCACTTTTATTATTTATATAAAATATTAAATGCATGAATTAATTATTATTGTTGTTAGTTTACACTATATCTCATGTATGTCACATTTGATATTACATTCTTAATTTTTTATAAAAAAATAAAATAATAAAATATATAAATATTTTTTTCATATCTCGTTCCTTTTTAGAGCACGTATTTTTTTTTTTTAGATGCATTTACTTTTAGAGCAATTGTTTTTATTAAATGTATTTATTTTTAGTGATAGTATTTTTTTTTTAAGATAAGTACTTTCTTTACGCTTTCATGTATGTCTATTTTCCTGCAATATGATATATACAATTAAAAAAGTTATTTCTATATTTATCTAAATGCTATTTTAAATAGGTCGATAATATTATTTATAGTCCAATAATTGAGTTACTTAATTTTATAAGAAAGATAAGGAAAAATAAAAGAATAGCAATAAAAATGTTTAAAACTAAAATATAACAAAATAAAAAATAAAACAAAAACATTCTCAATAATAATAAGTTATCGATTATGTATAAAAAGGCAAAAAAAAAAAGCACATAACTTTTTTTTTTACATTTAATTAGAAAGTAATGATAATGCACATGCAAAAGGACATGTTATAATTCTTTTTTATATTTATTTATTGATACATTTCGTATCATAATGAAAATATATATCCTTGTATTTTCTGTGAAAAAATTCATTATATTTAATTAAAGATTTATCTTTTTAGTTAATATAATAATTAACATTTTTATTAAATTTAATGTTTGTACTTATGATTATTAGTTGCAAAAAAAAAAATTTATGAAAATATATTTATATTATATGTTTCATATTAAAAGGAATTTTCTTAACAGTTTTTAGAATAATTAAGAAAGTAAATTTTCCAAAAAATTAATAAAATTTTTTTCAATATATGTTTTTTACTGCATACATATGATTAAAAAAATAGTTTTTTTTTTTTTTTAAATTGTAATTAATTTAGAGTGCTTTTTTATGTGATATATTATTATAATTTCTTCAAAATAGATATGTTTTCACTTTTTCTTTTGAATTTGTGCATTTCATAATTTTTTTTTATTTTTTGAGAAGTAATTGAAAAAGGAAATTTTTTTAAAAAATAATTATGTATATATATATTATATAAACATATATTAATAACAAAAATAAAAATAAAACATAAAGATAAAAAAAATATAATAGAAAAATCAAAATAGTTACATTTAAAGCAAAAACCTGCACAAATAAAAATTAGTTTCATATATAATTAAAAATGACTACAAATATAGTATACTGTATGAAAAATACATGCATAGAAAAATTTTTAATTTATAGTGTTTTTTTTTTTTTTTTTTTTTGATGGAAATATAATATCTCTAATATATCTAATATATCTAAAGTTATAACTATAAATAACAAATACCATATATAAAATAATTTAATGTTTAACGTGATTCACAGAAAAAAAACAAATAGTTAAATAAAAAAAAAAATAAAAAAAAATTCAATGGAATTAAATATAAAACATTTTTAATTTTAATATATTTCAAATTAACGTTATATAATTTTTTTATCTACTTTAAGGATGAATATAATTTTAATGAAATATTTTTAAAATAACTTTACATATTTTAACATTTTTTTTTAACTTATAAATATACGTTCTTATATGTTTTATTTTTTGAAATATTAATAGTATTAATCTTGCATAAAGTAAATGTAATATTATGTATATTTCTGAAAAATTCGGAATTATATTTCATATAAAAAAAGATTTATTACCTTAAAAATTAATTTAGATAGATCATAATATTAACTAAAGCAATATTACAAATTTTTAACTTAGCAATACTGAAGATAAAAATAGTTTTGTACCTAGCATAATAACTATAACTTAAATATTATACAATGAAAGTAATAAAATGAAAACCTTTACTTTATGTTCAAAGCTCTTTACATTTCTTCTTTTAATTTGGATATTCCATTGTTTTTACAATGTAAGATAAATTTCATATAAAAAAATACATATATATATATATTTTTTCTAACCATTTTTAAAATTTTATTTAATTTATTACTCTAATAATAGAAAAACAATTTTGAATAATTTTTATTTTATCCAATAGAACGATTTCAGTAGCTGTTTGATTTATAAAGATAAGCTACAAATGAAAAACAGGTTAAAAGATGAAAGAATGTTGGCAGAGGGTGGCATATTGGAAAAAAAACAAACTTGCATTAAGGAATGTTCAGAACATTATCCATATAGTGAAGGGGAGTTTTACCTTATAGAGTATGTTTATTTAATGTATATGTATATTAAATGTTATAACACTTTTATTCTATCAAGATTTCAAGAACATGATTTTTTTATAGAAGAAAAAGAAATGAAATATAAATGTAGAGATAAAATATTGAATGCTTATCGAAATAATATTTCAGCAGAATTGCCATTAGAAGAACTATTACTTACTCATTAATGTCGTATTATAAATCGAATTAGAAAAAAATAATTGATAGAATTTCAAAAAATCTTCATTTATATTATGGAAAATTTTTATGTCAATATAAATAACAAGGAAAAAAATAAAGTAAAAACAAGAAATAAAAAATTTAAAACTAGAAAATTGAATAAAAATAGACTTTGTTAAACTTTATTAAAATAAAAATTAATATATGAAAAGAAAATACTTAATAAGCCATGCGCATGTGCTAGTTAGAAAAAATTAATATTTTGCTTTATATTTTTTTATAGAAAAATGTTTTATTTTCTTTAAAGAAAAAAAACAAAATCATTAAAAGAGAAAAAAATTTTAGGAAGAAATATTTTAATGAGAATATATTATATTTTTGTGAGTGAAATATTCTCTGTTAGTGATATTAATATAATTTATATTTTTTTTGCTCTTTTAAGAAAAAGAGAACTTGAATAAATGAAAATTATTCATTAAAAGTTATAAATGAATATTTTGTACTTAAAAATAAATGTTTAATGAAAATTTATCTTCTTAATAAAAACATGAGATTTTTATTAAAGTAAATAAATCTCATTGAGCTACATGATTTACAGTTTACAGGTTTATAGCATCGAAATTATATTTAAATTCGTTAAATTAGTAGAGAAAGATCTACATTTTGTTTATTAATTTTTCTATTTATTACTTGATTTATTAATTACTCGTTCAATGACTTTAGTAATACTGAAAAAACAAAATAATAAAGAACACATAGAGAAAATTTTACTTACTATTTTTTATATTAATTAAAATATAATACAAATAATTCACTTTCATTGATTAATATAATATAATAATTGAGTTATTGGTTTATTAACTGGGTGTTCGATAACTTTGCTAGAGTACTGAACAAAAAAAAAAAAAAAAATAAAGAGCATGTAGAGTTGTCTCCATGATTTTGGTGTATTTATATATACTTTGAACGAGTGATCCTTAATTATGTAGTCTACTTCATTCAGCATTCTTTAATTTCAATAGGGATTTATTTACTTTAATAAAAATCTAAATTTTTATTAAAAATTTATATCCTCATTGAATATTGATTATTAATTGAATGTATATTACTTATTTCTTTGTTATTATTTATTTCCAGTAATTTAAATAAATTACCGTTGAATAAACAAGACACAAACAATTAGTAAAAATACAAAATTATTTATATGAATATTAATTACGTAAAAATTTTTAATTTTAATGTATAAGATTTTCTCTCACAAAAAAAAATTAATATAAAAAAATTATTAAAAAAAATTAAAAAATAATATATTTATGTAAATATCTTTTTTATTATTAATATCTCATTCTTACTGGTAACAAATCTTCTTTTAATTGATTTCTTTTAACTCATTTTTTCGTGATGTTCTTTTTTTTTCTTAAAAAAATATATATGTATTTTTTTTTTATTTCTTTTTATTAATAAAAATAAAAACAAATAAAAATTGATCATTTTTTTTTTCTTTTTTTTCTTTTTTTTCTTTTTTTTATTTTTTTTATTTTTTTTTTATTATTTATGTGTGAATGAACAACTACATATTCTTCATATAACGAGTCCTTTTTATTTACAAAAAGGTTAATAAAGCCTTTTATTAACAAATACTTTATTACCTATTTATTATCTAAATAATTAAAAATTCTATAATGTGTATACATTTGTCTTTTTGCTTGTATCTTAAGAGAATCTTATCCATTTGAAAAATAAATTGGATTTTATTTTTTTATGTAGGAAGATTATCTAATTATCAGTTTTATGAAATAGTAAATAGGACAGGTTAACAATGTCCTGCTTAATACTTCTTAACATTTTATTAGGATTTTCTTTTATTAATTCGCTATTTAAGTAATAATGTTAATTAAACTATCAAATTAATTAAGTTTCACAAAGTTCGTTATTAGATTTTGGGTCCACTGTTTTCAATAGATTATAAATTATTTATATATAATTATGTTAAATAACGTAAAATGTACAATTAATTTCATATAAAATTTAAATTCCTTGAATATTCGTTAATAAAAGGCTTTATTAACCTTTATGTTAAAAAAAAGAACTAGCTATATGAAGAATACGTAGTTGGTCACGAACACGAAAAAAAAAAAAAAAAAAAAAAATTATTGAATTTTTTTTTTTATTTTTCTTTTAATAAATTGGAAATACATAAAAAAAAAATATTTATTTTTTTCAAAAATATTTAATGAAAGAAGGAAAAACGGTAAAATAAAAATCGGGAGTAAGATTTGTTACCAATGAAAATGAGATCTTAAAAAGATAAAAGATATTTACATATAAATGAGCTTAATTTGCATAGCATTTATATTTTTAATTTGTAAGAGAAAATTTTATACTTATAATAATAAAATTTTCACGTAATTAATATTCATATAATTAATTTGGATTTTTACTAAATGTTTATGTTTGTTAATTCAACAGCAATATATTTAAATAGCTGAACATAACTCATAACAAAGAAACAAATAATTTACATTTAATTAATAATCAATATTCAATAAGGATTTAAATTTTTAATAAAAATAAGGATTTTTATTAAAGGAAATAAATGCCTATTGAAATCAAAGAATGCTGAATGAAGTAGATTACATAATTAAGGATTAATCGTTCAAAGCATATAAAAATATATATAAATAAATCAAAATCGTAGAGGTAACTCCACATGCTCTTTATTAATTTATTGGTTCAGTACTCTAACAAAGTTACCGAACACTCAGTTAATAAATTACTTTATTAATATGTTTGATGAATACTATAGCAAAGTTATGGAATTAGAAATAAATATATTAATATTTCAACTGAAAAATTAATCATTTCAAAAAAAAAGTAAATATATTTTTTTTTTGTATTTAAAAATTAGAAAAAGAAAACAAAGAAATTAAAAATTAATTTTTTTTTTTCTTTTGTTTTTTTTTTTTTTGCATCTTGAATTTGCATGTATAATTATATATTTTCCACACAACTATTACCGTTTATTCTCAAAAAGGTTAATAATACATTTTATAAACCAACATGAAATTGATAAGTAAAAAAAAAAAAGAAAAAAATTAGTTAATGGTTTTTTTTATTTTTGTAATTTAAATACATAAAAAAATAATTTTTTTCTTTTTTTAAAAGGAATTTTGTTGTCGAAAAATAGAAGAAAAAGTTATTGAATAAGAAAGCTTATTGTGGTGTATTTTTGTTTAAATTTATATAAGAAAATTTTTTGTTAACTATAATATAATTTTTGTGTTTTGTAGTACTTATGTAATTTAATTTAATTTTATCAATTATTTATGCTTGTTAATTTGAGAGCAATAAATTTGAATTGTTAAATATAAATTATAATATAAGTAAAATAAATGTAATTAATGTTTTATTATTTTCCTCTTCATTACTTTGCTAGAGTATTGAAAAAAAGGATTAACAACGAGCATGTAGAGTTTCTTCTACCATTTAAATGAATTTAAATATGTTTTTAATACTATAAACCATTGAAATGTATATCGTCTCCTTCATTGAACATTTATTGTTTTTAAGAGGCATTTAATTATTTTAATAAAAATCCCTATTTTTTTTAAAAATTTAAATCCTTATTAATTTTAGTTTTAAATCACATATATTTTACTTATAATGTTATGATTAATATTTAACAATTCAAATCCAATTCTCATGAATTAACAAATATAAATAACAAAATATAAAATAAGTTATACAATAATACACACACGAAAATTTTATTATTGTTAATATAAAATTTTCCACGAAAAAACTTCTTATAAGGTTTTCTTCTATTTTCTAATAACTTGAATATTTTTTTCACACTATTCAATTCTTTTTTTCTTCATTTATCTAGTATTTTCATGTCTGTTTATTTTCCATACAGCTATTAATTTTTTTCTCAAAAACGCTAATAATTCCTTTTATTAACAGAACTTTAACTCTAATAATTCTCAATAAAGACTTTTTTTTTATCCTTTTTGTGTCTTTTTTTTGTCATCTAGGTAATCTCGTAATAATTCTGAATCCAGCGTTTTTTTTTCTATTTTATCCTCTACTTTATCTACCTGATTTATTTATTTTCTATAATTTGCATTTTTACTTTATTAAATTATCATTGAATGAATTTGCTAGAGTAATGAAAAAGAAATTATTAAAGAGAATATAGAGTTTTCTCTAATAATTAAATTGATTTTAAATCTAATTTTAATGATATAAACAAGCAAAAAGCAACAATGCGGTTCATTGTGAATTCACTTTGATAAAAATTATGTATTTTTATTAAAAACATATATTCTCATTAATTATTAATTTTTATGTACAAAATAATTATTGCTTTTTATAAGTAATTTTCAGTAATTTTAGTTCACTACTTTTAAAAATAATAAAAATACATAAATAATAAAAAGAAAAATTTAATTATATTTATACCACACAGTGAAAATCTTATTCTTAAAAATTAAAAAGTATTCTCATGAAATTTTTTCTTTCTAAAAAATTTTTCTCTTTTAATTTTTTTTTTTTTTTAAAAAATAAAATATATCTCTATAAAAAAAAAATTTAGACAAAATATTAATTTTTCTTTATTTAACTAGATCTTGCGCATGAATAGTCCTATATTCCCTGTTAAAATATTAATTTTTATTTTCTTAATGATTATCAAACTTCTTAAAAAAAAATTTGAAAATATTTGATTTCTTATTTTTTATTTTATTTTTTCCCTTCTCATTCTTAGATTCGGATTCTGTTTTATTGTCTGTCATCTCATTTTTAGATTCGGATTCTGTTTTATTGTCTGTCATCTCATTCATAGATTCGGATTCTGTTTTATTGTGTGTCATCTCATTCTTAGATTCGGATTCTGTTTTATTGTGTGTCATCTCATTCTTAGATTCGGATTCTGTTTTATTGTCTGTCATATCATTCTTAGATTCGGATTCTGTTTTATTGCCTATTATCTCTTTCTTACATTCGTCTAAAAATTTCACAAATTTTATGTGGAGTTCTTGCTTAGTACTACGAATCAATTTTTGTTTTTCTTCTTCTGAAATATCACTTCGATCAAATATTGAAGATAGTTCATTAACATTATTCGCTGAAATATTATTCCATTCATTATTCCATTTTTGTTCTCTCCATTTAGGGTCCATTCCATCTGTTTCTTTATTAAATTCCTGCCGCAAAAATGGAGTAACGACTTTATTCCAATGATCGTACGGATTCTCGTGTAGAACTGGATTTTTCCATTTGTTTTTTTTATTATCCAATGGACATTTTTCTAGGCATTCTTCACCGTAAGATTGCTTTTTTCCTGCTATGTCACCCTCTGTTAATAGTCTTTCATATTTTAACTTATTTTTCGTTTGCAATATATTTTTATCAACCAATGTTTTATTGGAATCACACTATGGATTAAATAAAAATTTTTTAAAAGAATGTTTCTTTTGTTAGAATAGAAAATAAAATGCAATGTCAAGAATAATTAGAAATAAAATATATCTATATGTATATTTTTTGTAAAAATTTTAACTTACGTTATAAAAACAATGGTACATCCAAATTAAAAGAAGGAATATAGTAATTTTTAAATATAAAGTTAACGTTTTCATATTAATATATTTATAGAATAATATTGAAGTGAACGTTGTTAATTCAGGTGTAAAATTGTTTCAATTTTCAATAATACTAAATTATGGATTTGTAATATTAATTTAGATATTATTGTAACTTGTATTAATTTATTAAATTTTTAAAATAGAAAATTATTTTCATATATGAAATGTAATTTCTAATTTTTTATTATTACACATGATTTCATAGTTACTTTAGATAGGAATAATATTCTTAATTCTTTAAAATATAAAATAAGAATGTGAATTTACGAATAAATAAAAAATATAATAAATCGGATAATGTTATTTTAAAAATATTTTATTATAATTTTATTTATCTTTAAATTATGTAAAAAAATAAAATATTTTTAATTTAATGCACATAAAAATTATAAATGATATACATTTAATGTTAAAGGATTTTTTTAATTTTTTTTTTCTAAATTACTAATCTCTGTGAATTATGTCGAACTTTAAATTATTTTATATACGGTATATTATGATTTATAAATATAAATCTTCGTATATTATAGAGATATATCTCCATCAAAAAAAGAAAAAGAAACTCTATAAATTAAAAATTTTTATACGCATGTATTTTTCATACAGTATACTACATTTGTGACAATTTTTTACTTATATAAAACTAATTTTTGTTTGTGTACATTTTTCTTTTAAATATAACTTTTTTGATTTTTCTTATATGCTTTTTTTTATCTTTATTCTTTTTTTTTTATTTTTATTATTCATAAATGTTTATACAATATATGTATATATTCATTTTTTGTTATAACTATTTTTTAAAAAAAATTACTTTTTCAATTATTTGAAAAAAAAATAAAAAAAATTTATTAAGTACTTAAATTCTAAAGAAAAAGTGAAGAAAAGCATTTGCATTAATGAAATTATAATAAAAAATCTTATAAATAGTACATTTAAAAGTCAAATAAATTAATTACAATTTAAAAAAAAAAAAAAAAAATACTATTTTTTTATTCACATATTTAAAGTAAAAAATATTTTTTAAAAAGTTTTTTGACAAATTTACTATATTCTAAAAATATATTTTTGTAAATTTACTTTTTTACTAGTAATACTTATCAGTTTCAAATTTAATATAAATATTATTTACTGAATACAAAAATATATCTTTAGTTAAATATAATAGATTTTTTCTTATAAAATTCAAAAGAAAGTATTTTTATCGTGATATAAAGAATATCAATAAATAAAGATAAAACTGAATTATAAAATAACTTTTTGCATATATATTATTATAATCTTCTAATTAAATATAAAAAAAATAAATTTTTTTTTTTTTTTTTTACCTTTACATATTTATTTGATAAGTGTTGATTATTATTACGATGTGTTCATTTTCTTTTTTATTTTTAGTTACATATATTTATAGCACAATTTTTTATTTTTCATTTTACTTACGAAATTTAGGTAACTCATTTATATAGTATAAATGAATTCAACAATTGTCCCTTTCTAGTATAACTTTCTTTTTAAAAGTTTTAATTTTATAAGACATCTTTGTAAATATTAATGGAGAATTTTAATAAGAATTATTATTTTTTAAATTTAATTTGTTAGAATCTTTGACGTATTATTAATAAAAAGTGTTGTGTATAAATACTATCATTTTTAATATTTTATCACTAATTTTTCTCTAAGAGATAATCATAAATTTAATAAAAATGCATTTTACAAGTAAAAATATGTAAAATATTAATGTGTCTTACATTTAACATAGATATTACATGATATTAAAATAATTTGAATAGTGTGTGTGTTACAGATATAGAAACATAAATTATCCAAATGATAGTTCATGAAGTATTAAAATGATTATAATTATTATAAATATGATAATATTCCTAAGGAAAAGAAATTATTTATATCTTTGATTTATTAATGGCTGTTAAATTACTTTTCTGGTGTCAAAGAAATGAATTAATAAGGAAAATGTAGTGTAATCTCTACTTAACTTTAATATAAATTTTTTTTTTTATTTAATAAACATTAAATATAACTTGTTAGTTAATTTTTTTTTTTTAATATTAGCAACACTCCAAAATATAATCTCCTTAATATAACATTTTAGCTTAAAATAAAAATGTACATTCTATAGTAGTCTGCACATTATCCTCCCAAAAAAAAAAAAAGGAAAACTAATTTTTTTTTAAGATTACATTTTTTTTTTTGTAACAATAAAAATATCATCATAATATATATTTTTTTTTAATTGTGAATACCCACACAAAAAAAATAGTATTATTTATTTATTTGTTTTTAAGTGCACTGACATTAAGTGCAAGTAAATATATACATATATTTTTTGTTTACATACTTTTTGAATATCCATTTTAGAGCAGACATTTATGATAGCAGATTGTCCTTTTGAATTAGCATGCACAAAATAAAATGTTTTTATTCTATTTATTTGTGTAAATATTATACAAAGAAGGTTAATAGTATTGTTTATAGAGCTATGTATAACTGGTTAATAAAAGGCTTCATTAACCTTTTTGGTTATAAAAAGAACTATCTATATAAAGAATACGTAGTTGATTTTGCTAACTAGAAAAAAAAAAGATATTTATTATATTTTTTAAATGATATATTCAGAGAGGAAAAGAGAAAATTGGTAAAATAAAAATCGAGAGTAAGAATTAGTACCAATAAAAATGAGATTTTAAAAAGATAATAATGTTTTCATAAAAGAGCTTAATTTGCATAATATTTATATTTTGAATTTGTGAGAGAAAATTTTATATATATGACAATAAAATATTTGCTTAATTAATATTCACATAATTTATTTGAATTTTTAATAATTGTTTATATTGGTTAATTAAAAAGCAATATATTTAAATTCCTGAACATAACTCATAACGAAGAAATAAGTAATTCACATTTAATTAATAGTCGATATTTGATTTATTAACTAGGTGTTCGGCAACTTTACTAGAGTACTAAACAAACAAATTAATAAAGAGCATGCAATCTATAAATTATATTATCAAACTGTTTTAAATAATATTTAATAAAATAAAATAAGTAAAAACATTTTATTTAGAGCATTATAAAATATGTGGAAAATGTGAACTTATAAATGTGTATATTAAAAAAAATATATATATATATATATTTGCACTAAAAATACGCTAAAGAAAAAAAAAAATAAACATATTTCTATAATATTTTTTTGTGTAATTACAATTACGTAAGAAAAAATATTTTTTTTTTTATTATTTTTTTAAAAAAAATATGACATCTTAAAAAAAAATATTTTTTTAACTTTTAAGGACAAAGATGGGGAGTATTTTGTTTTTTTTTAAGAAAGATTAAAAATGCAATGTAAAATGTTGTACGCATGGGATATTATGTAAATTAATAACAATATTAATTAACTAACATAATTAATGTTTTATATTAATTAATAAAAAATGAATCATTTAATTTATATCCTAATTTAAAAAAAATAAAAATATGTAAAATTCCCTTTATATGATCTTTATTAATTTGTTTGTTAGATACTAGCAATAACATTGAATGGTTAATTAATAAATAACTGAGTTGAAAAAGAAATTTAAAAAAAAAAACTGTAATCTTAAGGATAATCATATACTTTTTTTTTGATGATGTCAAGTATAATTTTTTATGTGTAAGAATCAAAAATGTTATGTTAATATTATATTTTATAGTGTGTTGTGTAAATTAACCCAATAACTATTGTGATTCACATTTGACAATTACAAAAACTAAATAATTTGTATAATAATTTATTTTAACCTAAATAAAATAAGTAGAGTTTTCTCTACATGCTTTTTATTAATTTTTTTTTGCTCAATACTAGAAATATGATTAATAAAAGACTTCATTCACCTTTTTAATAATTTACAGAATGATATAAGTTAATTTTAGAGCAATGTAGTTACATGCAGAATAATAAAAAAGTATATAAAGAGATATATACATGAGAACACTTATAATAATTTTTAGGTGTATAGAAATAAAATACAAAATACATTATGTTTAAAAGGATACCTTCATAGATATAGTAGAACTATATTTGTATAATATATGTTATATTAGTTATTTACTCATAAAAAACATCATATATGCATTTTTATTTTTAAAAAAAAAAGAATGTTTTATTTTTATTTATTTTTTTTTTTAGGAGATGAGTAAATATGATAATTTTTATATTTTATATGAAAAAATACTAAGAAGTATGCTAAATAGCGTGAATTTTATAATAAATATATTAAGATTATTATGAATTGATACTTGTTTAATAGGTATATAAATATATACATAGGTTAATTTTATATTAAAAAGAATAAATAGATATCATTTTACAAGCTCTATATTAATTTAACTATTTAAAGCACTATAAAAGTCATTATTTAACAAATTAATAATTCATAATATCACTGAAAAGAAAATTAAAAAGTTATTACATTTAAAAAAAAAAAAAAAAAACAAATATATTTCATTTATTTTTTATTATTATGTATATTTAAAATTATAAAAAAAAATATTTTATTTTTTTTTTGGTTTTATATTCTGGAGATCTGGGAAATTTTAGCAAAAAATTAATGCTAATAATTTTATTTTTTAATAGAAAAAAATAGTATCATTTTTTTTTTTTTTTTTTGAGATGCAATGGATATTATTTTTTTTTGCATGAAAAATTAAATAACATTATGTTAAACATTACATTTGTATTGTATAAATTAGCTTAAACAAATAAATAATAGAGTTCAAATTTAATATTAGTTAATAAAAATAAATGATTTATCTAATGATTTATTTGATTCTAAATAAAATAACTATAATTATCTCTAAACTTTCTTTATTTAATTTATTTGTTCATCATAAGCAAATTGATTATACCAGCAATTAATAAATAAATATTCTAACAAAATTATTGAATGAGAAATTAATAAATCAATAACTAAGCATATAGCAATGTTTAAGATTATTTCTTAAAAAATATTCAAAAAGAACAATAATTCTATTTATCACTTCTAAAATTTTTTCTATAGTTTTACAAATTTCTACAGTTTCTTCACGTTTATTTTTACCACCTATACTCTATAAATTTTGCTTTTTTATTCGTTATGTTCATTCATTTAATAATAAATTACTGTTGTAAAACATTCTTTATTATTTTTTTCTATCCACCTCTTATGAATATCTTCACAGTGTTTTTTCCATATAATTTTTTGCCTTTCTAACATGGGATTTCTAATTCTGTCCTCATTCTTTTTTGCTATCATATATTCATATACTTCTTCTATGTATTCCTTTTCTTTGTTTTTCATTTCCAATATTAATTCTATAAACCATTTTTTTTTTTTCCATTCTTCTATTTTCTCTTTATCATTATTTAATATAACATTCCTACTTTTTTTTTTTATTTCCAATATGTTAACATCCTCATCTAAATTTTCTTGTATTCTCAATTCTTCCACTATTTTTTTAAAAAAATATTCTTTTTCTTTTTGCAATTCTTCTTTCATACATTCTTCTAATAGAGTCATATGTATTTCTATCAAAACCTTTTGTATCAATTTTTGTTTTATTTTATATTTCTCTATTTCTTCATCTGCTTCTTGTTTCAATTCCTCTATATTTTCATAAATTTCCTTCACTTCCTTCGCATCTTTTTTAGTTATTCCTTCCTTAAGTTCTTCTTCTTTTTCGTATTCGTCTAATAAATTGTTAAACCATTCATCCTCGCTATGTAGTATAAACCACGTTCTTTGTTTTTTTAGCCATTGTTTCCATATTCTTTTTTGTTTCTCTAGCATAGGATTTCTTCCTGCTTCTATTTCTACGATTTGTGATTCTTTTGTTAATTCACCAAAATTTTCTTGTTCTTTTCCCCATTCTTTTTTCAAATTAATAAACCAATCTTCTTTTTTCCATTTCTCTGACATTCTTTTGTTTCTTTCTACCCATTTTTTCCATAAAAGTTTTTGTTTCTCAATCATCAATTTACTAATGTCTTCATCCCCTTCTTTCATTATTGCTAAATCATTTTCTATTATTTTTTGATATTTTTCTTTATCTTCTTCTATAAATTCTTCTAAACAGGTTTCTAAAAATTTTCCTCTATTCAATAACCACTCCTCTTTTCTACATTCTTCCAATATTACCATATATATTCCTATTAAAGTCTCCCATTTTAATTTTTTTTTGTTAATTTTAGAATTATTCATTCCATATGATTCCTGTAAACTATTCCTTTCATATTTTTTCATTTTTCCTTCCTCCATATTATTAATCTCTGGTATTGATTCACCTCTTTCTATGGTTTTTTCATTTTCCTTTTCTTTTTCAATACTATTTTTATAAATTCTACTTTTATGTTCTTTGTCTTCATTTTCATATTCTTTAACTAACTTTGTAAACCATTCTTCATTGTTGTCATCTTCTTTCCACTTTCTATAAATATTTTCACAGTGTTTTTTCCATATATTGCTTTTTCTTTCTAAGACAGCATCTATTATTCTTTCTTTATTCTTTTTTACTAAAATTTCTTCATTTGTCTCCATCATATATTTTTCTTCATTATATTTCCATTCTAACATTAACTCAATAAACCATTTTTCTTTTTTCCATTTTTCTATTTCTTCTTTTTTTTTCTCTGATATAACATTCCAACTTCTTTCTCTTTCTATTTTATCGAATATGTTTGTTTCTTCATCCATATTTTTATATTTTTTTATCTCTTCCATATTTGCTTTAAAAAATTCTTCTTCTTTTTCCCACTCTTCTTTCGTACATTCCTCTAATACCATCATATGAATATCTAACAAAATTCTCCTTTCTAAATTTTTTTTCTTTTCACATTTATCTATTCCATTATTTCTTTCTTTCTCTATATTTTCTTCCTTTAAATTTTCATTAATTTCTTCTTTTTCATATTCTTCTAACAATTTTATAAACCATTTCTGATTTTTATATTCGTATGAATGCTCTATTTGACATTCTATCCATTTCTTCCACATTTTTTTTTTTTTATCTAGAATAAAATTATTTACTCCAATTTCTCTCATTTTTTTAATTTCATGTACTTCTAAATATTCTAAGTGTTTTTTTTGTTCTTGTTCCCATTCTTTCTTCAAATTAATAAACCACTCTTCATTTTTATATTTATCTAATATACTACTATATTTATCTGTTGCATCGGTATTATTTTCTTCTTTTATTTTCCTTACAAAATTATTTCCCATTTCTTTTAAATTAGAATTTTCTCCATCTTTTTCGATCTCTTCTAAACAAATATCAAAAAATTCGGATTTATTCAATTTCCATTCCTCTTTTTTATACTCTAGTAATGCAGTCATATGTATATCTACCCATGAATTCCAATTACATACATCATTCTTGATTGACCTTTTATTTCCTAAATTTTTCATTTCATTATCACATGTAGATTTTTCTCTATGCAAATTTATTTCATTTGTCTCTTCTTCATTTAAGGTATCTTCCATAATATACTCTACAATATGAGATGTATTTATTCCTAATATATTTTTATTCAATTTTTCTTCTTTGATTTTATTTCTAGATTTATTTACATTTAATTAAATCTCTTCAATTTCATTTCTAGGATTATCTTCATTTAATTTTTCTCCCAATATGAATTCATTTTCATGCTTCATTAATACATCTACAAATTCACGAATGTATTTATTTTCATTTTCCATATAAATTCCTTCATGCGCTTTGCATTTCTTCATTTGTTCGTACTTCAAATCTATTTCATTTTCCACATACATTCCTTCATGCGTTTTGGATTTCTTCATTTGTTCATACTTCAAATCTTTTTCATTTTCCATATATACACATTTATGTGCTCTGGATTTCTTCATTTGTTTATACTTCAAATCTTTTTCATTTTTCATATACATTCCTTTATGTGCTTTGGATTTCTTTACTTGTTTATACTTCAAATCTTTTCGATTTTTCAAACACATATCACATTGTAGTATTTCCTTTTCATGGTGTAAGAATGAATAATTTTCATTATTTATTGGTTCATTCTTTATATTATTTGTGTCCATTAGCAACGGTTCCCTTGTTATTTTCTTAATCTTTTTTCTTGCTTTCTTTTTTTTTGACTTCCTATTACGAATCCAAGATCCAATGGGAGTATACTATAATTCAAATTAAAAAATAAAAAATTATGAAAATTCTTCATTAATGTAATTATGATTTTAAATATATAAGTTTTTACAATATTAAATGTTAATTTTATCTTACTTTCCAAAGAAGAACCAAAAGAAAAATAATTCCTAAAATAAATATACCTCCTGAAACCATTATTAATAAATTATCTGTAGGTTTAACTGTAGGCATAACATTGGTAGGAATATTTGATGGGGATGGCGTCAAAAAATTATTTGAAACAGTGGCATTTGGACTTATTGAAAGATATCCAGTATTATTTTCAACTAAATGTTGTTGAGCCTGTAGAAGAGGTGCTTGTGTATTTTGTTGGTTCTGCAGTTGGGTACTATCTGTCTGATTTGAAGGTAAATTGTTATTTGTTGTAGGAAAAAAAGCAGCCTTTGTTGTGAGAATAGATGTATTATCAGGAGAATACGAAGGTGGAGTTGAAGGTATAATATCAGACATAGAAGATGCAGTGTCAATTGCAGGAGATGTAACTTTATTTGTAATAGTCTCATTGTTATTTGTAGATGTATTATATACAGAAGTTGCAGTTTCAGAAGGTAAAGATGAAGTTGTAGGAGATTTAGTGTGTGTTGTAGAATGTGTAATATTATTTTCCATTGATTCAACGATAGTGGTAGAATACGCAGTGATAACTGTAGAAGAAGCAGTTACATTTGTAGAAGACTCGTTAACAGGAAATTGTGTAACTGTAGATGCACCACTACTTGTAGGAGAATGTGAAAATAAAGGCTTAGTTGTAGGAGATACAGTATTATTAGTAGAAGGTATATATATATTTGTAGGAGACATATTCTCAGAGAAAGATGTAATTACAGATGAAGTACTACTTGTAGGAGAGTCTGAAGGTGAGGGTTTAGATATAGAAGAAGGTAAAGATGCAGTTATAGGTGGCGGAGTGGTAGTAGTAGAAGGTGCAATATTACTTGTAAATGACTTCATAGTAGTATTAGAATATTCATTGGCCGTTGTATCAGATATTTCTCCAGGTAAAGGTGTAACTGTAGGTGTTCCACTAGTTGTAGTAGAATTTGAAGGTAATGCTTCAGTTGTAGGGGATGTTACAACCTCAGGGGATGGTGAAGATGAGGTTGTGCCAGTTATAGTATTAGTATTAGAATGTATTGTACCATTCGGAGTTAAAGAATTGGATTGTGTTAAGTCTTCTGGAGAAATTGTGGTTGCAGTTTCTGGGGAAGTTTGATCTGTAGTCATTGATGGTACTGAGGTGACATTTGTTAATGTATTTTCAGAGGGATTCACACCATTTACGTTATTAACACTAGTCGTATTTTTACCCAATGAGCCTGTAGTAGTATTATTATGCAATACATTAGGAGTTACAGTTGTAGGTTGTAAGCTATCTGGTAATGCAGTTGTATTATATGAAGTTTCATTAGATTTATTTTGAGTGCTATTTGAAGAAAGCCAATCTAAATTATATGGATCAGTTGTATTTTTTCGTTCTTTAATTTGATAAATTAATGTTGTCATATTACAATGATATTTAGTATCATGAAACACAGTAGTTTGTATATTATTACTATATGCATTCCATCTTGTAATGGAATCATTTATATATCTTCTATCATCATAAAATTCACTGGAGAACATATTAACAAATTGCATTCCTCTCTTATAAATATACATACTCCACTTTCCACAATTACGTGGAGATTTGTTATTTTCATACATTCTGTAATAGTAATCAGATATATCATTAGTAATATTGTGAAACCTACTCTCTCTATCTCCAATAATTTGAATTTTATTAGTACTATAATTATCTTGCTCTAGTTGAACGTATGTTAATAATGTGCTTACTGGTAGATCATTATTTTCATAAGGTCTAGTGCAGTTATTATTTTTATTCAAAATAGCACAATAGTTAAACGTTTTTTCATTGCACGTTGAATTTGTTTTTTCAACTATACTTGTTTGAAAAGAATTTTGTTTCTCATTCCATTTTTCAACAAGACAGGAGATATTATAATCTTCTTTTCCACTTAATAGCAAATTAACATAGTCCATTCCTCTCCAATTTATGTATGTGGATGCCTTTTGACATTTTTCTGTGGAATTCGTAATTCTATTGTCTTTAAGATAAAATTGAAGTTCATTACGAGTATCATTCATAAATGATTGAATTTCTGTATTGAGCTTAATTGTATCATTAGATGAATTATCAATGTTTTCTATTGTATTATTTCTTTTATTTAACATGCAGGAAATTTCTTCTAATTCTGACAATAATCTTGCATTTTTTGTGATTGAGTTTTTTCTCATGATTGTTGTTTCACAAGGTTTTCTTAAAATATTCTGTAATAACATTTAAAAATTGATATATTACGAAAAATAAATTTTTATATCAGTAATATATAAAAGCGAAAATTTAAAGAAGAGAAAAAGGCAATAAATAAATATTCATTTATTTTACATTTCATATTTATCATACATTAGAAAGGCATTCTTTAATCCAATTAAAGAAGAAAAATAATTTAATTTTACTAAAAAATTGAATATGGCTATTTTTATTATTTTTCAGTATCATTGTACACTTGAATTACATGAGGAAACTGTTATAATCTCCATGTAGAAATGACCACACTTGTGTTTATGTGATAACTATATCATAAATTTGTTTATATTTGAAAATGTCATTTTATGCAACAAAAAATAACAATTCGTAGAAAAAGTAGTTTTTTGTTTGCTTATTGTGTAAAATATTAAATTATTCTAATTTTCATGTAATAATAATGTAATTAATTCTTAAAAAAAATGAAAAATTATGATAAAATAAAAATTTATTTTATAAAAATAACATTAAGAAAGAAAAAAAGAAAACAATAGTTAATGTAAATCCTTATTTAATACTATGAAATTTGTATGAAAAAAAAAAATCATATTACGGATTTTTTCTGTTTTTTCTTAAATTTTCTATATAATTATATGAATATGAATGTAAGTTTGAAGCGATAATATAATTATTTAATTTTGATATTTTGAATAAAATATTTAATTATTATATAATATTTTCATAGCAAATTTTTTATGAAGATGAAATTTGAATAGTTGAAGTAAAATTTTATAAGTAGTATAAGGTTTTTATAAATAAATAGCATAATTTACTTAATAATTTATAATTCTTATTTTAAAAGATCTCACTGTCACTTATAGAAAATGTAAAATAAGTAAAAAAAAAAAGAAGTAAAATATATATATGTAAAATCTGAAATTGATAACTACAATATACTATTTTAGCTATTCATGTATATTTTTATAAATGTATTATATTAAGTTTAATAGATGTAATATTTATAATTATGAAAAGCTACATTATTTGTTGCTAAATTATTAAATTTTAAACGCTGATCAAACTTATTCCAATTTTTTTTATTTTAACATTTAAGTTTTTGTTGATAAATTAGTGCATTATAATTTAGTTTTATTTATAGAGAAATATACCTATTAAAAAAAAAAAATTAGTTTAAGTTAGTGAGTAATGCACTTTTTTTTTTTTTGTTATAATTATATTAAACTTTTTATTGTTTTATTAATTTTTATTTGGTAATATATATATATATATATATATATCTAACATTATTTTAAGAAATATTTTTTATTATTTTAGGATTTTTTATTATAAACAAAGAGAAACATAAATTATTTTTTGGTTATTTTTTTTACAATTATTTCTCACAATATTTTAAGAAAATGAAAATTACAATAGTTTACAAGAAAAAATTTCTTAGAAAAAATATATCATTCACATTGAAAAAAAAAATGAATAAAAAGTGTGAGATGAATTTAAGAAACTTAATTTTTCTGGATAAAAAACAATAAAAAAAAATAAAATTCATGATATTCTTCAATTTTTTTTTTTTTTTTTTATGTTTTTGTAAGATAGATTATAATGAATGATTTACTGAAAAAGTTCGTTAGAAAAATAGATGTATTTTATTTTTATTATCACTTTATATTATTTTTATGGGAGTTTATTATTTTTTTCGTAGGAATATTATAGGAGAAACCTTTTTTTTATGAATATTTATAATTATATTTATGGTTTTTCATTATTAAAAATTTAATAATTATTTACCATTTTTTTAATTTTTCTTATTTTTATTCATTTATAATATCAAGTTGATATTGCGATTAAGAATTGAATAATTATATTAAAAATTAAGAGAAGGTAAAAGATAAGTTGACTGTATGAATATTATAACATGGTATAAATTTATTAAAAATTTTATTGTTGAATTTTATAATATTTATTTTGAATATGCATGTTGTGAGGAAAAGGGTGAAGGTTATGTTAAATGAATATAAATTTATTTAGATTATAGTTATTTGACGTTTGTTGATTTAAATTTTTTGTAATTTTATTTGTTGAATATGGATTAATTAAATTCTGGTTATTGGTATATATTTAGTACTTATTTTGAAGATTATTTATTTTAAAGTAAACAATTTTATTTTTATTTATTATACATTTGTACATGTTTTATTATTTGTGTATTCGGTGACTTTATTAGAGTACTGAACAAACGAATTAATAAAGAGCATATAGAGTTTCCTCTACGATTTTGGTGTATTTATATATACTTTTATATACTTTGAACGAGTGATTCTTAATTATGTGCTCTACTTCGTTCAGCATTCTTTGATTTCAATAGGCATTTATTTACTTTAATAAAAATCCTTTTTTTTATTAAAAATTTAAATCCTTATTTAATATTGATAATTATTTAATTGATATTTATTTATTTCTTCGCTAAGAGTTATGTTCAGTAATTTAAATATATTGCTGTTGAATTAAAAAACATAAACAATTATTTACAAATATCAAAAATTATACAAATATTAATTAAATGAAAATTTCATTGTTATGTGTATAAAACTTTCTTTTACAAAATTCATCACAAAAATTATTTCATTTCCTTCCCCAAAAAAAAAAAAATCTTTTTTTTTCTTTTTTTTTTTTTTATATTTATTTATTGGTAACAAATATTTTTCTAATTGACTTTTTAATCAATTTTTTTTCCTGACGATCTTTGTATTTTTTTTTTTTTATCAAGATTTTCCCTGACAATCTTTGTACTTTTTTTTTAGAAAAAAGTACAGACAAAAAAAAAAATCATCAATTTTTTTTTTGTGTGTATATGTATGACGAACTTCGTATTCTTCATTTAACTAGTCTTTTTATTTTCCAATAAGGTTAATAAAGTCTTTTATTAATCATACTCCACCACCATGGGAAAGTAATGGTTATTACTTAAAGTTTGTTATTTTTGTATTGTTTTATTACATCAATTCCTTTTTGTAATCCTTTTTCAATTTGCTTGTCCTGATTATCGTTGATATCACACATTCTGATACTACTCCGTTTATTAATTTCTAGATAATCCTTATACTTTAAATCATGAGTCAGATTTAATTTCCTTTTATTCTTATTTGTAACTTGTATTAAATTTTGCATTTGCCTTTCATATATCTCCCTGGTTTTGTTACTCAAAAATTTTATTATTGACAATGGAATTTGTACTTCCTTACCTCTAAAATATATAGGTAATACTTTCAGAATTCTGCTTTCAATTGTAGTTACTCTATGAGGAAATGACCAATATGGTTTATATTGTATATTTTTACTACAGCGTTTCATTTGATTCCTTTCGTATTCGGATAATTCGTATGAGATAATATCTCGAACCTTAATATTTTTATTCTCAATTATAGGTTTTCTTTTGATTTCATTACATCTTCATGTATGTTTTTCCATTTATCGTTTAAGTATATAATCCTCATTTCAGAAGTTGTTTCTAGTACTAATTTTGCAAACCATGGACAGATACAATATATTCCAAACATAGCAAAATAGGGTGTTTCTCCTAGAGCTTCATGAGGTGTATTATTATATATTAGTACTGCATTTTTTACTATTTCTTCAAAAGGTATATCTTTTTCTTCATATAAAGTCTTCATGATATAATCTAAGCTTTTATGAGAGCTTTCATTTATACGGTTTCCTCGTGGATAATATGCGCTAGTATGATATAATTTAACCTTTATTTCTTTTGTAACATAGTCATGAAATTCTTGACTAGTATAAATTGAACCGCGATATGTTAAAATGCTTATAGGGAATCCAAGTATGGGTATCCATGTTTTCTTTATAATGTTAATTGCATGCATAGCATTAGGTGTTTTATTAGTTATGTTCGTCACCATAAAACATGTATGATGATCTATTGCTACTTGTATAAAGTATTCTGTATTTTTCCATGTTTTAGGTCCTATAATATCTAATGAAACCATATCAAATACATTTGATTTTGATAAGGTTTGATTACTATTGGGTTTAAATTTCCGATTATGCATTACTTGACAAACTAAACAATTTGTAACGTATTCTTCAATATCTTTACTAATATTGGGCCACTAAAAATGTTTTTGTATTTTCTTTAGTATTTTATTTACTCCACATTATCTTGCGAATTTACTACTATGAAACTAATACATTAAATGATTTCTATATTTTTCTAATATATATAATACTCTGTTCTATACTGAACTGGGAAATCATACTTCCATACTAGGTCTCTCGGTATGTTATCTTTATCATTTCTTGCTTCATTTGCTACTTCCTCGAAAGAAGGTATCACATATGAATCTTCATATACTCCTTGAGGTTTACTACAATATAATGTCATGTAATTAGGAAGATCTGTATCATATTCTATTGACCTAGTTATCCAATCCGCCAAGCTACTTTGAACTCCTTCAATATGTTGAAATTCTAAGTTAAATTTAGACAGTCTTTACTTCCATCGATATAATTTTCCAGTATTAATTGAGTCCATTCCAATAATACCTTTACAATATGTTTTAATTAAAGTCTTAAATCCTTTAATATAATAATAGAATGTTTCGCATGCTACTACTATAGCAAATAATTCTTTTTCAACCGTACTCCATCTTTGTTGTACTTCATTTAATTTCTTCGACGTGTAATAAATGAATTTAGTTTGATATGTGTCCTTATCAATTTGAGTCAATACAGCTCCTATATCATAATCTGATGCGTCAGTATAAATAAAATAGGGCTTTCCTAATTCTGGAAATGGAAGATAAGTAATTTCCGTCATTTTTTTCTTGATTTGCTCCAAAGCCTTTGCATACCCTTCTTTCCATTCAAATATATGTTTCTTAGTTAACAATGTAACAAGTTTAGAAGTCCACTATGAAATGTTCTTAATATAATTCCTGTAATAATTAGTAGTTCCTAAAAATAATCTTAATTGCTTTTTAGATTTAGGCTGTTCTGCCTTAAT